GAACAGCTTTCAGCACGCCCTCAAGCGAGGTTATGGCAAGTCTCAAAACATCAATCTCTTAACGTGAACAGCTTCCAGCACGCCCTCAAGCGAGGTTATGGCACGTCTCAAAACATCAATCTCTTAACGTGAACAGCTTCCAGCACGCCCTCAAGCGAGGTTATGGCACGTCTCAAAACATCAACCTCTTAACGTGAACAGCTTCCACCACGCCCTCAAGCGAGGTTATGGCACGTCTCAAAACATCAACCTCTTAACGTGAATAGCTTCCAGCACACCCTCAAGCGACATTATGACACGTCTCAGAACACCACTCTCGTAACGTGAACAGCTTTCAGCGCGCCCTCAAGCGAGGTTATGACACATCTCAAAACACCACATAGTGCAGTGATCGCACTCTCACAGTGCCGTGACTGCACCCTCACAGTGCCGTGACAGCACTCTCACAGTGCGATCAGGGTTTCTCTCACAGTGCCGTGACAGCACTCTCACAGTGCGGTCAGGGCCACTCTCACAGTGCCGTGACTGCACTCTCACAGTGCGGTAAGGGCCACTCTCACAGTGCCGTCACCGCACTCTCACAGTGCGGTCAGGGCCACTCTCACAGTACCGTGACAGCACTCTCACAGTGCGGTCAGGGCCACTCTCACAGTGCCGTGACAGCACTCTCATAGTGCAGTCAGGGCCACTCTCACAGTGCCGTGACAGCACTCTCACAGTGCGGTCAGGGCCACTCTTACAGTGCCGTGACCGCACTCTCACAGTGCGGTCAGGGCCACTCTCACAGTGCGGTCAGGGCCACTCTCACAGTGCCGTGACAGCACTCTCACAGTGCGGTCAGGGCCACTCTCACAGTGCCGTGACAGCACTCTCACAGTGCGGTCAGGGCCACTCTCACAGTGTCGTAACAGCACTCTCACAGTGCGGTCAGGGCCACTCTCAGAGTGCCGTGACAGCACTCTCACAGTGCGGTCAGGGCCACTCTCACGGTGCCGTGACAGCACTCTCACAGTGTGGTCAGGGCCACTCTCACAGTGCCGTGACAGCACTCTCACAGTGCGGTCAGGGCCACTCTCACGGTGCCGTGACAGCCCTCTCACAGTGCGGTCAGGGCCACTCTCACAGTGCCGTGACCGCACTCTCACAGTGCGGTCAGGGCCACTCTCACAGTGCCATGACAGCACTCTCACAGTGCGGTCAGGGCCACTCTCATAGTGCCGTGACAACACTCTCACAGTGCGGTCAGGGCCACTCTCATAGTGCCGTGACAGCACTCTCACAGTGCGGTCAGGGCCACTCTCACAGTGCAGTGACAGCACTCTCACAGTGCGGTCAGGGCCACTCTCACAGTGCCGTGACAGCACTCTCACAGTGCGGTCAGGGCCACTCTCACAGTGCCGTGACAGCACTCTCACAGTGCGGTCAGGGCCACTCTCACAGTGCCGTGACAGCACTCTCACAGTGCGATCAGGGCCACTCTCACAGTGCCGTGACAACACTCTCACAGTGCGGTCAGGGCCACTCTCACAGTGCCGTGACAGCACTCTCACAGTGCGGTCAGGGCCACTCTCACAGTGCCGTGACAGCACTCTCACAGTGCGGTCAGGGCCACTCTCACAGTGCCGTGACAGCACTCTCACAGTGCGGTCAGGGCCACTCTCACAGTGCCGTGACAGCACTCTCACAGTGCGGTCAGGGCCACTCTCATAGTGCCGTGACAGCACTCTCAGAGTGCGGTCAGGGCCACTCTCACAGTGCCGTGACAGGACTCTCACAGTGTGGTCAGGGCCACTGTCACAGTGCCGTGACCGCCACCCCCCCCCTCCCCGCGCCCCCGCTTTGGACATCTCTCGAGCTACTATCCACCGTCATACCCTCCTCCCTGTGCTTCCAGCACCGCGGGTGCGGAGTGCGGGTGCATCAGGGGGAGGTGGTCTTTGTGAACGAACATGGGCTCATGGGGTGGGGAGAGGCTGCAAGGAGGCGTGAGCATGAGGGGACTGGCAGGGAGAAAGGAAAGATTGAGGGGGGGAGTGCGGGGATTGACGTGGTTATGGGGGAGGATGAGGACGGGGAGGGGAACCGGGAGGAGCAAAACAATGGTGACGAGGAGGGAAGCAAGGGTACAAAAGAGGAGGCGCATGTTGGGGATGAATCGCGCTGGCTGCGGGGCGGCAGCGATGGCTTGCTGGCCGCTATAAGGCGGTGTCATCCGTCCATGGCGGCACGATACTTGGCGGGCGTGCAGGCCATGACGGCGAGCTACATGTCGACAATCGCCGGCTTCAGCATGGGCCTTTCCGACTTGTGTGGCCTGCCTGCCAGCGGTGCCTCTGGCCAGGCCCCTCCCAGTGCCTTCCGCAACCTGCCTGCCTCCACCCCCCACTCCCCCCTTCCTCTTCCCTCTCCGTCTCCCCTGTTCTCCTGCTCCCCGCCCTTGTTCCCGAGGGGAAATGCGGTGAGGGAGATGGTGGAGGCGGGCAGCCTGGGCTCGGCCAAGGTCATCGCCCAGCAGGCTCAGCCCCAGGCAGTGAGCGTCCCCCATCCACTACCCTACTCACCACCACCACACCCCCCCCATGTTCTTGACCCCATACATCTCAGCTTTCCCGATTCTATCCCGCGTATGGCTGCAGCTGCTCCTGCTCGTGCCTCTCCTCACGTCTCTTCCCGGGGCTTAGGGTCCGGCTTAGCGCAACGCTCCCTCATGACAGGTCTTTCGGCTAGGGGGCTCTTCCAGGCCGCATCTTCGGCGAGGCCCTATCTGGTTGCCGAGGGTGCGACCGTGGCTCGGCCTGTGAAGCTTCCCACGAAGCTTATGGAGCCGCTTCGGGAGAGGGGATACGATGATTGGAAGAGTGGGAGGAAATGACGAGGTCGGAGGCTGAGAGGAGGGGGGGGGGTGGGGGGGGGAGGAGAGGGGGGAGCACGAGTGGGAGGCTGCGAAGGGCGGTGGGGAGGGAAGGGGGGGGGCGGGCGAGAGTGGGGACGGTGGTGGGGAGGCCGGTGCAGACGAGGTGTTGGACTGAGCTGCAGCGGTCTAATGCGTCGATGGCAAGGGAACGAGAGTCTTAATGTGTGTGCACGAGAGAGCTACCCGGGGGGTACGATATTTTCCCTTTGAGGAAACGAGGCTTCAGGTTGGAGTAGGGGGTGATACGGAGGGGGGCAGTGAGCGCTGCCATGGGGGGGAGGGGAGTGGAACCATAGTTGACGTGGAATGTTGCCATGGGGACCGTGCTCTGCTACCGTGGCACGGGGGTTAATCCTTAACATGCCCGGAATGGGCGAACAGCTGTGTGTAACGAGGGATTTCCTAGGGCTATTGGATAACTACCGGGGCAGAGCGCGAATACCACCGTGGCCGAACGGATTTACCACTCATTTTGGGTAACGACGAATAACCGCCAATGATAGTGAGGTTTGTACTCTCAGTGACTTGTGGTGCGTGACGCTTCAGTGATGTGTGGTACGTGATGTACACGCGACTTGTGATCCTAGGCGGCGCGATGTGCATAGAACTACCGACACAAGCCCAAACTGATCGTCGGGATGCATGTCTTGGTCAGAATGTTATGCTGCGCAGGCTGTAGTGGGGTAATCAACAGTGAGTACAAACCTGTTAAGGTTTTCTAATTGTATATTACTTGTCTGCTAGTGCAATCCCTCTTCTTCTGTTATAATTCCTACTCGTTAGTCTTAGACATGGTAACAGAGCAGGTCGACCCTCCCAGATCGACCCTGTGGACGGGCCCACCCCTCGGCTTCCGCTGCCGTTCGGTTAGTCGCGCGCCCCGGGCGTGCGACATTTCTCTGCCCGCCGCGCGCCCCGGGTGCGCGGCGGTTTTTCTTGTACAGCAAACCCTAAACGCGTGTATGTATGCGCGCTCTGCTTGTACTCACCCGCGGCTTTACCGGGCAGTTACGTGTAGTCTGCCTCGATTTCGATTCTGGCAGTCGATCCACCCGTCATGGCATCCATTGGCTTAGTCAACATTTTTTCGGATCGGCCTGCTACATTTGCGTGTCTATGTTCCGCCCGGCTTAATGTCGGCTAGCTCGATTAACAAGGTTGCAACGAATTAACACTCGTAATTGTCAGAACATTATAGCTTATACTTTTGTGTAGGCTGTAGTGGGGTATCCCATAGGGGGTACAACCCAATTAGGGTTAGTACTTGTACCCACTTCATTCATAGTTCATTCATTCTCGTTTCTTCTCATGGTATCGAGCAGGTTCCCTCGTGGGAACTGATCCTAGGGCCCACCATCGAAAAAAATTTCTTCCTGCCCGAAGCGCGCTCCGCTTAGGCCCGAGTCGCGCCTCGGGTCCTCTCTCTACCTTCGCGGCCTCCCTCGAGCCGCCCTTGCTCGGCCGTCGCCGCCCTTAGCGGCCCGTCGCCACCCTACGCGGCCCGCCCGCCGCCCTTTCGACGCCCGTCCCGGCCACGTGCGCCGCCCGTCCCGTGCGCCGCCCGTCGACGCCCGTCCCGGCCCCGTGCGCCGCCCGTCCCGTGCGACGCGGCCCGTGCGCCGCTCGTCCCGGCCCCTCGCCGCCTGTCCCGGCCCGTCGCCGCCCGACGCGGCCCGTGCGCCGCCTGTCCCGGCCCGTCGCCGCCCGGTCCGTCGCCGCCTGTACCGGCCCGTCGCCGCCCTTTGCGGCGTCACGCGCCGCCCTACCCTACCTGCGGCCCCGCCGCCCTACCTACGGCCCGGCCACCCTATCAACGGCCCCGCCGTCCTACAAGCGGCCCCGCCGCCTCACTCGACGGCCCCGCCACCCTACCAGCGGCCCCGCCGCCTCACTTTCGGACCCGCCGCCTCACTCAGCGGCCCCGCCGTCCTACCAGCGGCCCCGCCGCCTCACTCGGCGGCCCCGCCACCCTACCAGCGGCCCCGCCGCCTCACTTTCGGACCCGCCGCCTCACTCAACGGCCCCGCCACCCTACCTGCGGCCCCGCCGCCTCGCTCTCGGCCCCGTCACCTGCTGCAGCACCGCCCGCCACCCTAGCCGCCCGAGCCGTCTCACCCGGCCGAGCAGCCGACCGCCGCGCCGCCCTTCAGCAGCACAACCGAGCCGCCCGGCAGCAGAGCAGCCGAGCCGCCCAGCAGCCGAGCCACCCAGCAGCCGAGCCGCCCAACAGCCGAGCCGCCAAGCCGCTGAGCCGCCCAGCAGCCGAGCTAACGAGCCGCCGAGCCGCCCTACTTCCGGGCCGCCCGACCTGCCCAGTCTGGTGAGCACAGCGCCTTTTCACTGCACTGCCCTCACCCTACTGTTTGCACTGCTAGTCGTCGAGGGTCATGGCTACCCCTAGTGTCCTCGCCTTTGACGCTAAGGGTCGGGCCATTGACTTTGAGGTCTGGGTAGATGACCTGCAGCTGTTCTTACAGTGCGATAGGGCAGACGGCCTCTCTCTCTTTGACCTCACCTCTGGCGCTTCCCCTGCCCCTGCTGCTGATGCTGACGCAACTGTTCGCTCCCAGTGGGCCACGCGCCACGCTGCTGCACGTCTTGCTGTGCGTCGCCACCTCCCTACCTCCGAGCATGCGCACTTTAGTCAGTACAAGAGTGCTCAGACCTTGTACGACGCTGTAGTTGCGCGCTACTCCTCCCCTGCCACTGCTGCACTGAGTCGTCTCATGCTACCGTACCTCTTTCCTGACCTTGCTGCCTTTCCCACAGTCGCTGACCTCATTACGCACCTTCGCACTAGTGACACTCGCTACCGCGCTGCACTTCCTCCTGACTTCTGCGCCAAGAACCCCCCCCCCCCATGTACATCACTCTTTACTACATAGTCACTTGCCTCCCTGACTCCCTTCGGGTAGTCAGGGACCACTTCCTCTCTGTCTGTCCCACCACTCTCACTGTCGACCTCCTCGAGAAGTCCCTCCTAGCGGCCGAGAAGAGCATAGTCGCTGTAGGGGCCTCTCGTGGTGACCCGCGCGCCCCCATCTTTGAGGGGTGTTCCCCCTCCCCCCTTCTGCCCTCTGTTGCCTCTGCTGCTGCGGCCGACCTCCTTGGTCTTGAGTCGGTCGGTGCGGCGTCTGCCCCTAGCGGGAGACGCCGCTCTGGCAAGGGCAAGGGGGGCAAGGGCGCTGGAGGAGCGAGCGGGGGCGGTGGAGGTGGAGGTGGCGGCAGTGGGGGGAGTGGGGGTGGCGGTGGGAGTGGAGGTGGGGGTGGAGGGGTCGGTGGCGGCAGTGGAGGCGGAGGTGGCGGTGGCGGTGGGAGCGGAGGTGGCGGAGGAGGCGGCGGTGGAGGCGGAGGCGGAGGCGGCGGCAGCAGCGGAGGCGGCGGAGGCGGCGGAGGCGGCGGGGGTGGCGGTGGTGCTGGTCGCGGGTCTTCGCAAAGGAGTGGCTCCGGTGGTGGCTCGCGCCAGCAGCAGCAGCGCGGTCGTGAGACCCTGTCCCCTCAGCAGCTTCGTGAGTGGTACACTGCGCGCCAGCGGGGTGGGGGTTTTGGTTCGTGCTCCTACGTTTTGCGCACCGGCGACCGTGCGGGTGAGCAGTGTGGGGGAGCCCACCCCACCTAGCGCTGCTTTGGCCGCCTGACGGACGCGTGGCGTCACCAGTTCCCGGAGGCCTCAGAGATCCCTCGCTAGGGCGAGCTGTCTAGGGCGGGTGTTGCCATCTATGATCTTGACTTTGATGCTATTCTCTCTGCCATGTATGCTGTGTCTATTAGTGATGAGGGTGACTGTTACCGGTGTTTCCCACCCGATCCGGGCATTGAGACTGCTGCTCTAGGTACTGGTGAGGCTGCTGCCCTAGGTGCTTGCGACGCTGCTGCTCTAGGTGCTAGTCTGTCTGCGTCCTCAGGTACTGGTGAGTCTGCGCTCTCAGGTACTGCGTCGGCTTCAGCCTCCCTCACCTTCACCCTTGACTCTGGGGCGTCTCGCTCCTTCTTTCGGGACCGCACCACACTCACACCGCTGAGTCGGCTGGTTGCGGTCTCTCTGGCTGACCCCTCTGGGGGTCCTGTCCTGTCTCGCTTCTCCACAGTCCTCCCGTGTCCGGCGGCTCCCTCTGGCACCCTGTCTGGTCTCTACCTCCCCTCGTTCTCTACGAACCTGGTGAGTGGTGCTGACCTACAGGATGCGGGTGTACACCAGTTCAATCCTGCGCGTCAGCGGGTGACGCACTGTACAGAGGCTAGCACAGGCCGACACCTGGCTACGTTTACCCGTCAGCCGGGGTCGAGCCTGTACACACTGACCCCTGCGTCTCCTCCCGTTACTGAGTCTGGTAGGGTCGCTTCGTCAGGTCTGGTGTTTGCTGCAGTGTCCAGGTCTGGTCCTGAGTCTGCCCCCTGTTCGTGTCGTCTCCTGTCTCACGAGACTCTCCTCTGGCACCACCGTCTTGGTCACCCCTCTCTGCATCGGCTCAGAGGCATGGCCTCCCGTCTTCTAGTGTCTGGTCTCCCCCGGTCCCTCCCTCCCCTTCCTCAGGGCCCTGACCCTACCTGTGTCCCCTGTGTCGAGGGGCGCCAGCGTGCTGCCCCTCACTCCTCCCAGTTTCCTCCGACAGAGGCCCCGTTGCAGACGCTTCACATGGACGTGTGGGGCCCATCCCGCGTCCGTGGGAAGGGTCACGAGCGCTATTTCCTGCTCGTTGTTGACGACTACCCGCGTTACACCGCAGTCTTCCCCTTGCGCAGCAAGGGTGATGTCACTGAGGTGCT